ATATTCTGTGATTGTGTGATTCGGTGAAAAATGAAATTAGACAGGCAAAGGCAGTTTGGAAAGCTGTTGTACTAAGACAGAGCAGACTTACTCGCCATCTGGAATTCTGCAAATGCCTCTCTTTCCAGCTGCACACGAAGGAACTCACAGGGTGCATCCTTCAAGAGCTGGAAGAGTCGCACAGCTTTACTGTAATGGAGATCAGCAAGTACTCGGTGCTGCTTCCTCAAATGTTCATCACCAACCTGCAGGCAAAGTAGGGTACACAGTAAATTCCAGACAATTTCCATAAGGAAAAAAAAAAACCTGCTTATGGGCAATACTTGGTACCAACAATCGCTCCCCAGCTGATTTCAGAATGGTTCATCTAAACGTCTGTCTGCATGTCTGCACGTTCCTGGAACACATCACCAGCCTGCCATCTTCAAAGCTATTGTAATTTCACAGCTCATGCTAACAAATCACATCAAGTAGAACTGAAGTAATCATAAAGAAAAATAATATAGGCAAAAAAAGCCCAGAAAGCAACATGCAAGTCTATACTAAGGCTTTAATAAGACAGAAGACTGCCTGCTTAAGTATCAGAAGAGTGGCTTGGAAGCAAAACCAAACAAAAGAAAACATTTATCATCAATGGCTTCTGTTATGAGGGCATGAAACTACTTAAAATAGAGAGAATCATAAAGCTCAAGAAGAGACAGACTGCTCTTAAAAGTAAGATTGCATTTCACAATGATTTCAAATAAACCACCTTTGGGTAAGTCATTTAAATAAATCAATCTTAAGTACAGGTAGAAGGACAAATATCAATCTCCACACACACTGGATATGTTAAATATGGCACCTATAGAGAAAACCAAACCAGTTTGTACTCGTACCTGGTTTCTCAGGCAGCTGTGGTACATCGAGGCCAGGCGGTGGTGGATGGTTGCAGCCCGGTACTGGCAGAGAGGCTGCCGTGCCGACACTGTATCAACATCACAGTACTTCAAGGACTTCATCATGGCTTCACTCACTTCCTTCTCTATCTACAAAATAAAACAGAAAGACTTAGTGTGATTACTTTAAGACCAGAACATCACTATGTGCAACTGTAAGGGTTAAAACTCTGTCTGTGGCTCTATTTTTAAGCAAAACATTAAAAACTCAAGTGACTGAACATTTTATGGTTTGCAATAACTACTTCACAAAAGTTCTTCAATCTAATAAAAGTTCACAAGTTCTTCCAACATCAATTTCACTCACTGTTTTGTTTTCAGGAAGACCATAGCTTATTTTACCAGGTGTTGTCACAAATGCTCTCCATTACCTGTTCCTGAGCCTTTCGAGACAGCGGAGCGTAATCCTGCTGCAGAGTTGCCATAGTGAAATACGTGGTAGACAGCTCCCAGTTCACAGAATCCCAAACTGCTGGGTGCACATCCCTCTTACCCAGCGATCGTAACGCCTTCAGGTAGTAGTCAATAGCCTACAGGTTATCAAATAGACATCCATGGTTACTGAAGTTTTATAGAAACTAGAAATTAACTTCTCTTTACTAGTTCTCAAGGAAGCATTCCAAACTAATCTGAGCCTTCTTCAGCGTTTTCCTTACACCCATTTTGGTCATAACTTCAATCCTGACTGCATTTCCATCTCCCCTGTGTGTGGTATTGCCACCTGTTAACATCAGGATTTGAATGTCACAGCGCTTCATGTATCAGAGCAATGAAATCAAACCTCAACAACAACAGTGAAGCCTATACAGCAAGGGTTAGGATAATATGAAAGCAGGAGAGACATCCCAAATTATTACATCAAGATTTACAGACATTTACAACTATATGTACGAATATCCCATGGTAAAAGGTACATTAGGGTATTGGCCCATTTCTAAAAATAGTGTGATGTTACCTTATTGTAATAAAGGGCCTCTTCTGGGGAAAACTCTCTTTTGAAGTCCCCTCCAGCTGCACAATGCGCTTGAGCACAAATTCGCATCAGTCTTCCCGTGTTGCAGAGCAGAAGAGCAGCATTGGTTGCATCATCAATTGACTCAAAATTCTGAATTCCTTCTTCAAAGCACGAGAAGCTTTTCTTCCAGAGTTGCTGCTCTGTCGTCGATACGTTTTTACTCACTATGGTTAAGACACAAGGCTTACCATCTCACTGATAATTTAAATTGACCTTACACTTGTTCATGCTGAACTAAACCAAACACATCAAGAATGCAACATGCCCTCCCTTTTACAACATACTTAGGTTAAAGTTTTCATCCTGTTTGAGGGCATTCTATACACTGTAAGATAATTTTTCCAGAGCTATAGATTCCATTATTCAGCTGAGTCTCAATTAAGTACAGTGTAAAAGCCACAGTGATCTGTTGTGGACAAATACTTACAATGGACATTGAAGTTACAAAACGTCAGTTACAGAGAAGTATTTACTATGAAGTTCTTTGTAAATGTCATCTTTATAATCAGAAATACTCAAGATTTCTCACACTATTACTGAACACAATCATTGCTATAGCTCCAGGAAATAGTAAGAAATGAAAAAAAAGAATACTTGCCCACTCTCTCAGTCTGCACTGCAGCAGCCTGGTTCATGTAGAAGACTCCAATCTCGTTCCTGATATTCCCCATCCTCTTTAGTACCTGGATCCGCTGCTCTGGATTTTGGTTTTTTAAATTACTAAAAAGTAAAATTTCATAGGCTGCTTCGTAACATTTACAGCTGACAGAAAGTTGGCATTCCAGGTCTGTAGACAAGTCTGTGGCCCAGGCAAACACTAGAAAACCAAACGCAAAGCCTGCACGTCAAACAGTATTTCCAAGTAAGATTAAATCTGTGATGGTCATCATTTTGGACATTCTCCTCTAGAGTAAGTGCAAGACCCGCGTCAGAATGATCCTACGATTTCTACAGATAAGCACAATTTACCCATTACTTCAACTACTGTCTTTAGTTATTTTACAGCTTCTGCCATGTCATATAATATCTTGACAATCTCCTTACGGATGACAGGCGCAGTAAGCTGAAGAAAACAGAACTGAAGTGTAATAAAATCTCCTCCAGAAATTATACTGATGCGTGGTTTTGAGAAACACAACGAAATTCCTTATGTCTGTCAAATAACTGAATTACGGCAGTTCTCATATCAGTATCATACCTTGGCATCTGGATTCTCTGTGAAGACTGTGTAGGATTTCCTGATCTTCTTTGGTCTGGTAATTGTATTCTTCAAGATATGCTGCTCTGTTGTTTGCATTCTGAGCAAGCATTAACTGGATATCTCCACAAAGGGTTAGACACTGACAAAGGAACACCAACACTTCGGGAAGCATGCTGGCACAGAGACAACAGTACGTATCTGTTAGAAAAAATACCCAAGGATGAGAGAGAGGGAAAGAAAAGAATTAAACGTCAAAAGGTTTGACACAGACTGACAATATAATTGGTTTTTATGTTACCTGTCACACTTTTCTCTGTATGCAGACAACACATGTTCTTCTAAGAAGAACTAACCTGTTTTAAAGTCATAGTTGCTCTACACAGCTGACAGTTTCAAAAGGGTAACTATGTTGTCCAAGATGAGCAGTGAATCTGGTAATTAAACACTAATCTCAGATCTCACTAAAGGAAAACTGACTTTCCACGGATTAACTCAAGTGAGATATAACCTAAAGAAATAATTTCCAAGAGTTACAGTTCAAACTCTATTCTCAAGTCTTTAAAAAGAACAAAAGCTGAAGAATGCTTTGATAAGCATATCGATGGTTTGTGTTAAGATCAAGTGTTCTTGCTTTAAGCCTCCTCCTGCCATAAGCCCTACAAACACGGAAATAAAATAGCAGTACTACAGTACTAAGCTAATGGCATTTTTCTGATTATTGCAGTAATATTCTAAGAAGTCCAATTTTACTTCCTCTGTTTTCCTCAGTAATACTTCAAAGTGTATTTCATTTTAGAGAAGTATCCAATTCAGCTGATGAAGAAGTTTGGTACTTCCAGGAGTCAGGAATACAGTAAAATGAAATGAGAAATAAAATAGCAGTACTACAGTACTAAGCTAATGGCATTTTTCTGATTATTGCAGTAATATTCTAAGAAGTCCAATTTTACTTCCTCTGTTTTCCTCAGTAATACTTGAAAGTGTATTTCATTCAGTATCCAATTCAGCTGATGAAGAAGTTTGGTACTTCCAAGAGTCAGGAATACAATATAATTAAATGAGAACCACCAGACATTTCCAGGGGGGGAAATACCCAAACCAAACCATCTGCCTGCAGCATTTCCAGGGGGGGAAATACCCAAACCAAACCAAACCATCTGCTTGCAGCGACAGCACTTAGCCCACAGAATACAACCTTGGTCTTGGCACCAGGACCAACCCTCCCAATTTCGAGCGCTCTAAAGCTCCAAATCTGCCCCCTAAGTTTCCTACTCTGTCAAAATGAGAGAACTTTTCTACCAGAGACAGGAGTTATTCTTCCTACAGACTTCCCTCCTGAATCATGAGTTAGACACTTAGTTTAGCTAAATACATGGTTGTCAGACTTGTCACTGCCTGCCACTAGGATACATCATGTACAGTAAAAGCATTTGATATTTTGAAAGGTACATACATAGCAATGGCACAGATGACAAACACATTTTAGCAACTTACCATGGCACTGTAAAGCCAGCTTGATGTATCGTAATGCTCTCCCGTATTTCTGTAGAATCATAGCAGCATCAGATAGGACATAATACGCCTTTGATGATTTCAAAATTAGCTGGAGTTTCATTTTATATTGCCACGATCCAGGAATCATTCCTGACTGACTGGAATGCTTACCCTTCTGAAATGAGCCCACTGTAACACAAACAGAACCTCATCAGTAAATCTCATCTCTGGAACATATGCCAGAGGTTAAACACAGCTTCATCACTATACAGGCAGAATGTAAACTGCCTTATTACAGCGCTGCACAAGCAGAGTTATGCCGACTTGTCTGCCACCACATTTTTCATCTGCAAAATGAACCCAATATTTGCAACTTTTCCACACACTCCACCTGAGAGCGGGATGCTCAAATACAGTGAGCACAGTGACAGCACATCAAACCTCTCATACTCTGAAATACGGGCACAGTGGCCAAGAGTATTCCATTAGGTAGTAACAGAAAAGAACAAGAAAGCCACAGGCATAACTTGTCACGTTCTCTCCCAAATCCTTACAGTATACGCTCTGTTTCTGTGTGAACAATTTCAAAGTGAGAAAGCCTCTATTTGTGGGTTCAGCCTCCAGCACAGAAGGAAGTGGATAACCTGGTCCTTCCCAGAAGGAAAGCCCATGGTCTCTCTCATACTAGTTTCAGGACATACCCAGCCTAAGATTATGAAGGTTCCTTCTTCAATGCTGCAGTGTTATGGAACCAGAAAAAACAGGCCACCGATGTTAGGCAGAGTTTTGTCCTGACAACATTTGCCAACAGTAATCAGTCTCTTGCTTAAGGGTGGACCTACAAGGCCTGACTAGCAAGCCCACTATCTTTAGTAAGTTCTAGATCTACAAGTTTATATTAGGACAAAGACAAATCTAATACAGAAACACCTCATGCAGTTAAAGACACAGGATGCACATATACTGTATCCATAACCTATTCAGAAGTAGTTCTCCAAGTCAGAAATTCAAGAATTAAGAGCACTTGCCCTTTCTATACGTATGTCAACACACACGTAGCAGAGAAGCTACGTAATTTGCACCAAAGAAAATAAACCCATATACTGGAGAACTAAAAGTTTCTCTTTTGAACTAATTTTTTCTAGGTCAAACTCAATCCTTATAACCTGAACAAGTAGCACCATTGCTACTTCGGGGATGAACTCCAGCACAGATCCAGAAATCAAATCAAATATTTGTTCTGACATCTGTGCAGTATTTACCTCCCACATCCCCCAGGAAACACATGTTTCTGAACAGGAAAAGTTAACATGCAGACATTCTCCTTGCCAGCTGGCAAGCAGCTGCAGTGTGTCATCAGTTCCAAATTGTGAAGGCAGAAGACAGAGCCTGGCTGCAAGGAGAGCTGAAATCAGCACACACTGTTCTTGCTGAGCTGGCCCAAGTAGAATTTCTCAGTAGATCCTGGTAACATTTAGTCTCAGAGTCCATATTAACAGCACTGTGCAGAATTTATGCAAGCTCAGCACAATGCAGTTTCCTGATGGAGGTGTTAAAATTCTGTGGTCACATATCTGATAAAAACCAAGAAAGTATGCATACATCTCCAGGTCATTGACATTCAAAAAATTGGAAGAGACGCATGAGAATACTTGAGAGAATAACTCAAAACTGAACTTGCTAATTTTTATAATTCTTTATTCCTTCTTTTCTCCACTCTTCTGCCTTTGAGAATCTCTTATTATTAAGCAAGACTTAGATTTATTTCTGGGTTATGCTTATAGGGTTCCTCGCCCTGCAAAGAGCTCTACAAATTTCAGAATAATCTTTCCTATACCATTTTATAGCACTCCAGAGAAAAATAAAATAGACAAGACTATAGTCTGAAACGTACAGAGTTTGAGTATTTAAGCAAAACAAACATCTTTTATTTGCTGCTTCCTTCCACAGTTGTAGAGGTACAAGAAAAAACAACCAAACAAAATCCTAGTTAACATTTCAGAGGCAATTCAGCAGCAAGCACAATGTAGGAGAAAAACCTGCCAGAGTGAGTTCTTCCACAAAACTTCCAAGTCACAAAAAAAGAAAGAAGACTGTTTTAAAAACAACCCACACAACTTACTGTGCTCCACATACCAAACGTCAAAATACCAAGCCCTTATGGAAGTTTACTGGACCCTATTTAGATGTGGCTTGCAGATAAGTTATGTGCTTACTAATAAGAGATACTTTGATATGCAAAATATTCCAGATGAGCTGTTCTTTTCATATTTAAAAAGGAAGAGACTGTTCTCCAATTTTGGGTATACTACTATTGCTTATGAAGTAGTGTAATTAGTGACTTACAAGTACACTGTTTTGGCAATCAAAATAAAGTAGCAGCAATTTGTGTTGGGAATGGAAAGGTCTTATTTGCACAACAATGCAACTTACTTTTGTCCAAAAATAACGCCATCTGTTTTTCCAGACACTCGGGACCACTACTGGTGGATTCATCTTCATATTTCAATGGGATTGGTGTGCTAGGGTCAGCTGCAGGAAGGTCACTCTCTTTTTTAACACTGCTGTCAACAGACTTCAAGCCCTGCAAGAAGAATAAAATCATTGATTTCACCTTGAAAGCACTATTTAGCAAACACAGAATACATCAAGACTTGGGTACCAGGTGAAACATCATAAGAAAGTTGATGGTAAACTTACCTCCAGGACATAGTTAAGCACAAGCCTGCAGCGCTCCTCAGTGCCATGGCAGACAGGAAAAGCACAGCTGGGCTTCATTGAGGGGGCAGCAGGGAAGGAATAAAAAGGGAATAATGTTTAACAAATGAAATGTCAAAGTTACTAGAAGATGTAAATGAGAGATAGTATTAAGAAAACCTGTTAATGGAACACCTGAACTCTACACTCAAGTGTCACAGTATTTCTTTCCTTTATTTCAGTAATTCATGTACCTGGTCATCTACACTTGGTCTCTCCTGGTAATCTCAAAGACAATGCAAAGAGAAGACATAAGATGACTCCATGCCATAACAATTATGAAAGCATCCACAGATGTTCTGCAATGCAGACCCAGGAAGATAAACAGATTTGATACTATCCAGAAATAATTTCATCAGCCTATACAACAAAGTTGCAAAAAATGCCTTAGGGTTTTTGGAGGGGGTTTATTTTTGTTTTCTTCTGGGGTCAGTAGAAGGGAAAGAAGAAAGGAGAAATTGAGTACTTCTGTACCTGTCCAAATTATTGTATTTTCAGCTTATACACCTTAAAGAAACTAAGACAGCAATAAAAGTTACAAAATTATTTTAGGAAATGCTGTTCTTTGCTACTCAGCACAGACATTAGAAAAAAGGTTTAGCTTTTGACCAACTTTCATAATCATATCCCTATATAGGTAAGACAAGCAAAACATCACAAGAAAAATAAAATGCTATGAACAGATTCTTCAGTGATCTTCTCAGTTTCTCATATTCCTCTGTTTTGTTTCAATATTAATGCACAGAAAAGTGCAATGAAGGCAGCAGTACTACACTTCTGCTGATTCATTTATGAAGCACCTGAATGTCAGTGAAGTTTCAGGAACACTATGGTTATGCACCCAGCTGTCCCCTTAGACACAACATATACACATGTGCTGAGTAAAGCTTCACCTCTTCTTAAAAACTGACTATAACTAAAATTTAAAGGGAATCAAACTGTTGTGTTCTGCCCTTGAAAAGACAAATCGAAGAGGGAAATCAAAGACTAACTTTGTGGATATGAAGTAGCTGATGCTCCCAGGGAAAAAAACAACAAACCTTAATACTGCGCCAGAAAAAAACAACTAAGATAACCACAAGTTTATGTGCATACCCAGGTTATCTATAGGTCTTGCACATGCACAGCTGGCATTATTTTCTCTGCTGTCACGACAGGAATAATTTTCCTGTAGCCAGCTATGCAAAATCATGCCATAAAGGACATGTGAAAGAGAGTTTTTCCCCTACTGTGTTAAACCTGCTATACTTTAAAATTCAATGACCTCCGGTTTTATGAGCAGCCCATGAAAAAGTTTCTTTCCTCACTGTCTCATGCTTCAGTTAACCAGAAGACAAACCTTACAGGTAACTGAATTTCACTTGTTACACTTGCTGTGTAAACTGAATCTTATAAGAAAACTCTTTAAAAAACCCACAACTTCACTTACACGTATTCGATGAACAGACTTGTACTTTTCTGGTACTGATAACTCTCCAACAGATTTGATTATAGCCACTGCTTTATTGTCATCTGGCGGATCAGAACTGTTACTGTAAGAACCATTTTCATCACTGTCTGGCATTTCTTCCTCTTCCTCGCTATAACTTTCATCAGAATTTCCATTTATAGGGAAGTCTGTACTGTCTTCTTTTTTAGGTTCATCCAACTGAAAAAGCTCTGATAACATGTAGTTTGCTGAAGCAATAATCTTATTAAATAAGAGAAAAAAATATAGTGATTTATTTGCAAGTCACATTTTTCTCTTGAGAATCAACATCAATATCATGTTTAAAAAATAGCTTGGGGCTTCTTTAAGCATAAATCAATTTCTAAGTTCATAAATAAATTCAAATTCTCTCCCCTGCAGAGGGAAAAGGAAGTGCCATGCCAAAATATAAGAAGCTGTATTATTATGAACGCATTTCCCTTCTATTTACTCAAAGCTATAAGAAAACACCTAATTCTTACTTGAGGATGTCTGCCATTGTCCAGCAACTTAAGACAATTGAGCAGTAATGTTCTGATAGTGCCATAGTGTTTCTTGTTCTGGTTTTTCTTCAGCATCATATTGCAAGCAACTCTAAATGAAAGTTGAAAAAAATAGTAAATCCCTGCATAATTTCTTTGTGCTAGAAGAAAGAATAGCTTTAAACAATACTACTGCACACGTAGATCTCCCAAACTTCATGATAGGTCTACAAGACTTCCTCAGCAAGAGTGCAGTTTACATGGAGAAGTGGTGAAAAGGAGGAGGTCTGTTTTGATTTAGTGGGACTGAGGCTTACCAGGCTTATGTGTAAATATTTTCCTTTCATGCATTTTCATTTCATCATCATTTTTGGCCTGTATTCTTAACAAATACAATTGCATCAAGAATTAGGTATTACAACAAAAACATAAAACCTTACTTGTATAGAAGAATTGCCACCGGCATTGTAAAAGGGTTTTGGTATTTGTCTTCTGTCTCTTCACAAAGGGTGGTCAGGTCATAGAGCTTTACTATGTCACTCCCACTTGCTGAAAGTTAAGATCTTTCATTAGTCAACACGACATGAACATAAATCTTTTCAAAATAACCTAAATATACTTACCCTTAAATAGCCAGTACGTATGTCCTTCTTTGGTGCAATTTGACTTCAGAAAAGATAAAATATTTTGAGCAATATCTTTTATCACTTTGGTAGAAAAATTAGAGTTTTCCAAATTGGGAATATCTTCAGTCTTGATCATTTCGTATTTCTGCAAGACATATATGTTAAAACTCATGATTAGGAGGGTTTTCTGCCATGTATCCCCCAAAAAAATCTACACATCAGTGTCTCTATCAACTGCCGGAACAAATGCTATTATGATACAGCATCATGATAAATGGAGTTAATTTCTATGATTTACTTTAAAAGCAAGGACATCGTGATTACACTAACAGAAGCATTAAAGAAGACCCACTTCTATGGCAAACATGGTAAAGTAAAAGGAGAAGAAAGGGATGGAAAAAGGTGCATCAAACTATTACTTCAACAAAACCAAGTCAGCCTAGTAAGCAACTACAGGCTACCAGGTACAACAGAAACTCAGCTGGGATGTGTGGTCTATTGTTAAATGGTAAATTTAAAAAAATGTTTAAAAAGCAGGCATCTATTTTGGCAAGTGAACACTGCAGACTTTAAAACACAAGAAACAGATGGATTTCTGCTGTTGTATTGTTTTAATTTTGCCTTCATTCATACACTGTGAAAGGAGGAAACTTGCATGCATGGAAGGGAGGAATAGAAGAGAATACAATATTTTTGTATAATTATTGCAAGCTGTGCAGATGCCTCTCATTCTGCAGTAACGGATTCTTGTTATCCTCTTGTCAGCACAGTAAAGTTAGACAGGTATCTGTTAGCACTGGAGCAATTCCAGACACTGAAGAATGGATGAACTGGGCATAACGCAAAGAGCCAGACTTACCTGAACAATTCCATTAACGTGAAAGCACATCACAAGCTCTGGCACATTGCATATCAAGTTATCCAACCAATAGTCAATTCCTGTTAGCACATTTATTGGTTTGTTGTTATCCCTGAAAAGAAACATTCGTAATGTTACTTAAGTCTTTATTTACTCTTCAGAACATACTGAGGATGTTTACTAATGGGATTTCGATTTAAGTCACTTAAGAGTGGATGGATACCAAAATAATTATTTGTGAATTGTTATATTTTAAAGAGGCAAACAAAACAGATGGACTGATCTCCCCAATGGAATATACTCACATTCCCTCAGCAGTTTTGAATTTTTGCCCACACTTACACTGAAACTTTAACAAGCTTCACATGTCACACTATTACCAAGATAACAAGTACTTAAGAAGTTCTACAGGAATAGCAGTATTAGCAGCAGCTAATTATAGTGCAAGCCTTAACTCAGACCTTCCAGAATTCCTTGCGAAGCAAGGTACTGTTAATTCCTGGAAATGACTTAAAAATATGACCAATACATCAAGTGAGTTTCAAGTTTTTGTTCATTCTTTGCTTACTCATCGGTAGGAACAGAAAAAATGGTAACCAAGTGATCAACATAAAAATACAAGTGAAGTCGGGAGAGGTTGCAAACCACCAGTATTTTCAAATAAAGATGTAGTTACAGAGCCAGAAAAACCAGCAGAGCATCTCAAGTCTCAGTGCAGTGGCATGGCACTGGGATCACTTGTTTTCCTGTGCTTTACAATGCCATCGCCATTAAGTCTAACTCATGAAATTTATTCTTTAAATTGCAGGGAAAAATTAACAGTCAACCAAACAAAAATCAGGTCGTTAAATAGGAAGTAAAGCAACAAGTCAGTCAAGGCTGGCATATATCTCATTAACTTCAAAACTCACCTGAGACGCAAGCTCACGGCAGGGTATCTCCCACCTCCAAATATAGGCATATTTGATCCTACTAACATGTGGATGTCCTCAAAGGTCCACAAGATATTACGAACAAAGTCATTTTTAAGTCCCTTCATTAAGAGAAAAAATTGCTCCATGAAACACTGTTATAAAACACGCTCTCTATGACATTCTGCGGAGTTATGAGAAAGCAAGAAGCAAAAGCAGCAAATAAAAGACAGCACATAATGAACTATGCTACGCATTCGCGTTAACTTAAAAGACTGAGATCACAGATGCCACAAAAGCTACTTCTACAGGGGACTTAGTTTTTCTCTTGGTTCCAATTTAGACCAAATTTTAAAGCGCTTGATTAAATTGGGGGGTTGATGTTTGAGGTCAAATTTCACATATAGCATACCTGACTGTTTTCCCCGTCATTGAACAAAGTAGTCAGGTTTTGTTCTTTGGGGGCTGAGGCCACATGCCCCACTATATATGAGGGTTCAAGAGGCACACTTCCCTGTGAAAAGCACAAGGATAAGGAGTGATTCTGCTGCTGAGGTAAAGTTAGGCCATTAAAAAAAGAATCTCAACAACAAAAGCATGTAAGGGAAAAACCTTTACCTCTAATATCTTTGAATAAATATGTATTAAACTACAAAAAGCCTCTAGTCAGTGACTAGAATGCTTCTTTCCTATAGCTACTACCAAAATTTTGTACTTTATATTGCTATAGGCTTTGGAAAGAAATGAAAGTCTTTAATATAAATCCTTCATTACCCCAGGGTAAGCACCACATTATCAGTCTCCAGAATGTAAAACCTCTACCCTGATGTCTTATTTATAAATTAAATGATGCTGTACAAAGGCACAACCACTTCTTTATGATAAAGAGTCTGCCATATTAGGCAATCGTTCCTCAAGTAGGTGGAAGAGAGAAGTCCTCTTTCTTCTTACAGTGTTTAAGTACTCAAATATTTCTCCACTTCACAATATTACTACACAACACCACACAGTTACAATTTTAGGGATAACATAGGTTAGAGCCTTCATAAATTAGCTGACTAAGTCATGTAGCGTACCAGTTGGTAATACTCTCTAAGCATGACTATAGCATCATTCCTATAGTAATATAAATTGAATACACCAGATCTTTCAATCCCAAAATTTTATTCAATTCCTATATTGTACTACTCAAAAAACAACATAAATTCAGAGTTTTCATAAATAATCTTAGCCCCTGACTGAAATCCTGGATTAGGGCCTAATACTAATCATAGCTTGTTGCATAATTACTACAGACATATCTCCCCTCCACTTATGTAATCTCATCACAAGTATCTGCAAATGTTGCTTAACTGCTTTGCAAACATTTTCATAGATCTTCATTTTCCTCGTTACTTAATAAATTCAGGGCCACAACAGCTTTATTTTAATGGCAGATTTAAAAAAGAAAGGCCAGAACCTCAGGCTTCCATACACGCCTTCTGAATATCAGATTTTCCTACTTTCAGATGAAGTCATTGATGACTACTCCTAGCCAAATGTTTTGTTTCTCAAAAATGTATAGATAAGGATGTATTTAGTATTATGGGGTCAGAAAATATTCTGAAATGTGAAGCTCTGAAACACTGGCATAAGATAAACCACACATACTGCCAAATCATTTCAATGCCTTTACTTCTTTCAGCAAAGAGTAGTGCAGCAGCACTTTTGAAGACCTTTCAATATACAAGTCTATGAGTCTACTCTCTATGAAAATTAAGGTGTCATTTAAAACATTATATACACTAACCTGGTTAGAGGCACCTGGTTCTTCAGATAAGGAAGAAGGCATTTCAAAAGGAGCTGGCCAGGAGGCCCTTCCTGCTTCATCACTCTCACCTGAAACAGGACCCTCCTGGTGCTGTTTTGAAGTGGAAGGAACAGGCTGAGCAGCTCCATCACCATTAATGCTGACAAAACAACATGAAAAATTTCAGTCAACAATATGCAAAGAGAATCAATTTCATTTTTATTGCATTTGATGCACTGTTCTCAATGAATAACTTTGCCACTATGCTACAAGATTACTATACTGACAAGCTGCTCAACCTCTTACAATGTCACAGCCGGTGTCACATCTACCTTGCATATTTCAAGTTGTTCTTCCCTCAAACCCAGAGATATGCATTTAATTCAGTCACTCTGCTTATTTTATGCTTTAATTTTACTTTAAAATGCTTCAATTCCTGCTAAAAATATTTGCTATTTCCTGATATCATCCCTCAATTTTCACTGCGTAAGTAAAAATCAGTGAATAAGACAGACCATACTGGAATTTTAACATTGACTTCAAGACAAGAAACCAGGCAAAAGTAAGTGGTGCAGAACTGAAGTTTCATGCAGACATAAATGTTACCTGTAATACAAAAATTTAGAAAGTATAGCCTTCTGGTACCAATGTTCTTTACTCTTCTTCTTGCGTTGCCACTTCTGATCAATCAGCCTTTGATAAAACTCTTTCAGCCACGTCCAGTCCCCTGTCTAGGCAAAATCATAAATATGAAATCAGTATCAAGAAGCATCTTCAAACTAAACCAAGAGCCTTATTAACTTATGAATACTCATTCACAACAGTAAAAGAAATCCAGACAATAACTTCACAGCTGAAGTCTTGAACTGGTCATTTATTGAAAGTGTATCTTCTGGAAAAGTTACGTTCTTACTAAAGAGTTCACTTCATTAGAAAGTCAGATACATGGTAAGAGATTACACAGTAACAAATACTTTTTAATAATAAAGTGAATAAAATAGTATAGCAATATTCAAGTCATTACAGGGAAGTGGGACATGAAATTTTAATCCTACAATACCACAAGTATAGGACATCACATGCAGGTTTTGGGTAAAATGACTGCTGCAGAATCTCA